TGTCATACTGTTACAAAAACCAATAATTACATACATTAAAAGTATATATTATTACGGAGAAATTTGTCCCATGACACATTTCTCATCTTCCAATATTCTTGCCATTTCATAGTTAGATGCTGACAAGAGTTTTGAAACTCAGAAGTTTAGAGTTCAAAATTATTTGATATCGCTTTCACACACGATATGGATATGTGAAGTGCCTTGTTTAGATCATGTAAGACAAATTCTCATTCTGATGTGAGCAAATATGTAGGAAATAAGTGAAGAGCCAAGTCTTCCGTTTTCACAAGAAAAGATTTTAAAAGCTCTTTAGAATTCATACAAGCAATCAGTTTTTATTTTATAGGAGAAACAGAAGTCCTCCTAAATATTCCAAACCTGCTTCTACCTAACAACTCCAAAGAAGCTGGAGAATTAACCTGTCTTTTAACAGCAACACTAATACAAAAATTCTTCACCAATTAGAGCTGTAACACAGATGACTCTCCAGAAAACAATGCACATGAACTAAGTTATCTTGATAACACCAAAACAGCTACAGATGGATGGAGGGAAAAAACAAGAGAGCAGGAAAAGAAGTATCTCAGTAGTTTGATAAAAACATCAGTATGGAGAAACATGCAGTGAGACTGACCAGTGGTTGGCTGGGGTGTGTAGCAGTTCCTTATCCAACCACTCAGCCCATCTCCCACTTCCTGCTCACTCCAAAGAGCAAGAGCAGATAATGGGCAGGAGGATCGAACCCCTCCGAGAAATGTCTCACCTGAGTAAGTTCAACTACAGTTTAAACTTGTTGGCAGTAATGCGTATTAATTTCCAGTGCATAAACTAACACTTGAAACATACTAATTCCTCATGCCAGTTCTATTCCTGATAACATTTTCTTTTTTAAGACACTTAGAAAACTTCCAGGAAATACCAGTTGACACCATATATTCCATAAAACTGGCAAGAGGGCTCAAATGAGGTAGATCCTTGCAGCAATGTAGGATACGAGTTCTTCATAAAAGTGTTACCATTGCTTTCTTGCAGAACAGTCCAATTCCCTACTCAGCTTGCCTTTGTACCAGGGAGAACTGGTGGTCACCGTTTCAGATGCCAACTCTAGAACAAGTACATGGGTGGCAGCATCCTTGCAATGTGCTTTATTGGCATATTCCTCCCTGGGCTCCCACTTGCTTAAGTCTGAGAGCTGCTTCCTCAGCCCAGCAATGCTATTACTACAAAATAAATGTCAACAAACTTATGAGCAAAGTCACTACATCTGTAGGACTCAAGATTACTTCTAGAGTACTTGGGACTACAGAAGTTGTTCAGAGGACCACTTAAAGGAGTGACGTGTTACTGGCAGTTTTTGAGCCAGTGCTGCTGCCGGCATTTGTACACTCACTGAAGTTCACCAAGACTAAGAAGAGAGGGAACAGCAATGAGCAGAGGCCCTTCGAGATGGCAGTCATGTTCCAAGCTGAACTGGTCCACTTCTGAAAACATAAAATGAGTTACTCATCTGTACAGCCTTAGGATTGTTGGAAAAAAATCAACCCCATTTCTGACCAGCAGGGAAAGGTCCTTGTCTAGTCAAAAACACAAAAGGAAGATGCTTATATTTGAAGTTAAGCTGCAACATTTTTAAACTGTGCTTATCCTACTGCCCTAGGGAAGGATAATGAGGCCACAGGGACAAGAAATATGAACTCTGACATGGGGTTATACTGAAAAAAGTTAACATACAAGCATTTCCTTCTGACAGAGCATTATTAAGCAGGCAACCAAGGATACAAAGATGCGCTTCCTAAATTTTAAAAAGTCAGAACTGAGAAGAAATGGTAGAGAAACTATCCTCCATTTCCTAACCTTTCACCAATCCCACAAAGATGTGGACATGGGAAGAAAACCTTCCGCCTGTTACAGTTCTTCTAAAACATGTAACTCAGATCAATGTGGAAAACAAAGGTCATGAGAAACATATTTGGCATTCATATATGACTGCATATCCAAAATAACTCTTTTCTTGGGATGTCAGCCTAGCTTCTCATTCCCTTAGTTGTCTCAGTAGATTCAGGAGAACACTCTCAGATGAAAAAAACGGTAACAAGATACACAGAAATAAAGAGCAACTAAGGGGGTAATTAAAGACTACCCTACTTTACATGAGACATAAGTCAAAGTGTTACAAAATATAGTATCTTAGAAGTAATATCTCTGACTTGCAACAACTTCAGAATGATCTGAGCCACAGTGATCAGAAGTTCAGAAGTTAGCTTTGCTCATTAAAAAGCAGATGAGCAAACCTTTAATCTCTGTTTTGCCTGAGAGCTAAAGACAGGAGTGCTAATTCAAATACAGCAGTGAAGTACATATACAACAGTTAAGTTACTCCTTTCATTGCCCAAGAATTAAATGACAAAGACACCATGGGACTGTTTGAGCGCTCAGGACAGGTTGAGCTGCACTAGATCCACACTGATATGCAGAACATGGTGATATCAACATGATTTTAAGGTATCTCATGCAACATTATGTCCGCAGTACTTAACTGATTCCTGTCTTCAATGGCTCTTACCATGACCGAAACCACTGTGGCGGCAAAAATGTACAGAAGAGAGTAGAGAACTGGGACAGAGTCCTGAAGCGCAGGAGGATCTCAGCAACAGAACACAGGTCTGACCAGAGTCTTCGCGGGCATTTCTTAAATGTTTTATAGTCAACGTTACACTGAGGCACTTTGCTTCAGTTAGCAAGAAGCATTCTCCGGGTGAAATAACTTCCTTGCTTCTACTTCATTACTCTTAAACATTTATATGGAGTTACAGAAAAAGAAAAAGATATCTATGCTGTATGCCATTGCAAAATTGTTCTGTGTTTGCAAGAAGCTAATGTTCAATATGACATACATTCTCAATGTGGGAAGTAGTCAAATAAGAAAATAAGTTATTAAAATTGTATCCTTGATCAAACTCCATGTAAACAATACTTGCTCAGCAGTGCACAATAAAATTAATTTTATCAGGGCAGAGGAATTTTTTCAAGTAAATTCACAGTTGGAGAAAATTCTGACTTGTTATTTTGTTTTGAATATATGAGTACTCTATTTGGTAACTTTTTAAAAAATACAGTAATCTGCAATGCAGTAAGATGGTAAACCTGTGCTAAAAGCATGTTATGAAAAGCTCTGTGATCAAGTATTTGCCTATTCAATTACAACACTCTATTAACTTCAATTCTATTCCACAGTTTGAGAAGAATTACAGGGTGGTTGTTTTTTTAAAGCAAGCAATTGCCCTCTCTTAACAGTTTTCTGTTACTACTTACTTGAAAAATGTCCTTTATGTTTATTTTTTTTTTGTAAACATCTGTTTTCTATGCCCTTAAAAGCAATGGACATTTTTGTTGCTCAGACAAATTAGTTAATATGACAATTAATTCCCACTCCCAAAGAAGTCCTGTTTCCTGAGTTATATTTACATAAAAGTGTTGAGACTTTCACAATCTGTTTAATCAGGTATAGACAGTGACACAGCACACACTTGACAGCAACAGCTTCAAAGAACTTCAAATTCCTCTACATCAAATAACATCTGAGGATGAGCGACATACTCAGACTACAGAGAAGCAGTAAATATACATTTTAGCTATTAAAATTTAAATTATTGTATTTCAAAAAAGCATCTTCATAACCCCATAATCAAATGGCTTCTACCAACAGAAACATTTCCATGTCTAGAAAAGCATTCTAAAGAGTCTCAGAATTGGATATTTATGGAAATAAGCTGACTCCTGGATTGTCATTTTGTTTTCATGTTAGCCATACTCTTTTTGAAGTTACAAATGCAAAGAAACTTTCTGTTGCAATGATATTAGATTTTGCTACCAGTTGTGACAGATAAGCCTATATTTCTACTCTGACTCAAAGAACTGAAGAATAAAATCAAATACACTGAAACTGATACACAAGATCTACACCAGTTTTGCCTAAGTGTGAATATCTTGAAATAATCAAAGATAGTGTCAGAATAAAAGTGCAATAACACAATAAACCTTGAAACAAAATTAGGACTCAAACTTTTCAATAACGGTAAGTGTTCAGAAAACACCAGTTTGTTCTGATACAAAAATCTCTATATCTTTAAGTATGATCATCAGATAGTCATAGCTGCATTATTTTTAATCCAGTTTTTACAATTCCTAGTAAAAGGGAAAGACTGAACATGAGTGCAGTCTGTCAAGCTGAGTCCCTGTCAGGCTCATACAGCCTGTGCTGAAATTTGTTCTACAAAATTTTCTTAACTACTATCATGGCAAGATGGATTAGAGCTAGGGGAGTATGTCTACTCACTCTATTCTTACACCATACGGCTAAGTAAATATAGGATTTAATGCTAGTTTTTATAACATCTGATAGGACACAACAGATGCTGCAAAATTTGAAACATGCACAATGAATCTGTCTTCACTAAAACGGACATAACTTGCTAATTTCCAGTCTGGCAGAATATTACAGCATCAAAAATAATTTTAGAAAGAAGGCAGCAAATAAAGAATTGTAAGGTTCTTTTCAAATTCCACAGTATATACACAACTTAAATAACCTGGGGGGTTTAGGGCGTTAATAGGCATTTTAGCTACAATACTATCCAACAGGATATTTTGACACTAAAATGGAAATTACATATATTGTTTCAACTTAAAACGTTTACACCATTTTGGGACTGTCTTCTATATTGCTAATTTCATTGATATAATCTGTGAGAGGTCACTGTCCTGTGATACTACAAATCATTTTCTCATAATAATATGATCAAACTTGTTTCTCTCAATAAGTTTAATTACACTTCAGATACTTAACACTGCAAAACACCAAAATCCAGTGCAGTTTTTCAACTGCACAAAATGCACACATATTTCTAGGGTCAGACTGACAGAACTAGACAGAAGCAGTAATTATAGTGCAAATAAAAACATACTGTGTTTTGGGTTTTGCTTTTTTTTTTACTCACTTTCTTAATAAAATCAGGTATCTCCTTTTTGTCTGAAAGCTGGTTTAAAGAGGAGCAGCACTCTATCTCCAAGACATATCCTTCACTACAGACATCACCTTTTGGAGACCTAAAGAGAGAGACAGGAAAAAAGAATCAGTTTCTGTTCTTAACATTTGGGTACCCAGACATCCTCTTTATAAATATTTCCCACAGAGAGCTAACTTTCAGACAAAAATCAGTTCCAGCACTTTCACTCCATTGAGCTCAACTCACTTCTGACAAGTGTCAGCTACAGCATCTCGCCTACTTGCTAAGGAAGGAAATCTCACCAATGACTGTGAATGGTAGAATGCCTCAGGAACTTCCAAATTTCCTTATCTGTCCAAGAAACACTTTGTCAGCCTGGCATCTGTGTCCAGCTCCAAGGAGATACACAGGTGATGTGACTTGGAATATGCAGAAAGCAGGTTTCAGTGCAATGGGCTGACAGATGGTCTGGGCCCCACAGGGCAGCCTGATGTAGGCTGTGCTTCATGGACAGTAATTAAAGGAATCCCTTCTCTTACCTACCACCAACATTTAAAATGGGGGCTAATGAAAGTAGTCTATCCTTCAGTCTTACCTTATGCTTTTTTGTTGAGAAATGTAAAGCTGTGTCTAAAAACCCTTCTCTTTCAGATGACACAAACTCCCAAAATAATTCAGAGCGTATGGCATCTGCCATATACACTGCTGAACAAAGCAGTGCTGTGGAAACATGGTATCGGTCAAAACATGCCAAGGGAACGTTTGGAAGTTATCCTGAACGATCTTGAGAAACCGTCCGAAGGTGTGCACTGGAAAGCAGTGCTACCAAAGGCAGTTTTCATCTCCTCTGGACTCCTGTGCAAGGAAACTGATACACCTGACCAACACAGGAAATCCAGAGGATCATTTGTTTCATCAGCTCTTTAGGAGAACTCATAGAGGAACATAAAAAAAAAAAAAAAAAGAGCTAGTCTGTAATTCTTTGGCTTAACAAAGCAGATTAATAATAATAGATTATATATATAATTAT